TATGTAAACTTTTACAAGTTTACAATTCAAGTTCACTAGACTCCATGAGTTTACCCAAACTCTGGAGTTTGAAACCTTGAGTAAATCACAGGCCGGGGGGATGGTGTAACTTGTAAGTACAGCGCAGAAGTCCACAATACATATTGAAGGACCATTGTATTTCTGGCTCATGGAGAAAAGCAAGGTAGTTTTCAATCTTCACTTAATGTCACAATTTTTAAAAAAAAAGCAGTGTACAGTTCAAAAATTTGTTAAAAAATAAATAAAAATTATATGGTTAAAAAAAGGTATATATAAATAAAAATAATATAAATTGAGGTTTCTAACACCCCAAACGCAATACTTTTTCTCTAAACTTCCCTTATCTTTTGACAGGCATTTAAAGTTTGTTGATAAACATAATAACAAAACGGGAGTTGTTAAGGAGAGAGACAAGGAAGTGGTTGGAGAGGGGGACAGCTGGCAGGCTTTGAATGGTGAGCATGATTTTGGGGTTACTGGGAAGGAAGGCAGAAAGGAGGGGGTATCGAAGAAGTACGGAATATTGGGAGTATTTGGGAACTTTACAGGAATTGGGTTATGTTCGTGTAGAGGGAGCTGGGTTGCTGTCTTTAGTATTTTTTTGTATTTCCTTTTAGTCACTGTTGCATTTGCTTTGTCATAGTTAGATTTCTGTAATTAGGGAAAATATTCTGTAATCATTACAATGCTTGGTTGAAGCATTGCTATAGAATTTTCTGATTCATCATGTTTCTCCACTCTTATCTCCACTAATTTTTCTCTTAAATACATACACGTATACCTACCACCTTCTATTGATATTAAAAACAAATATAAATACCAAAAAGTGATTGTGATAACGGATGGGTGAACAAAACAGCAAAATGACAGACAGATAAAGAACAAGAATTCAGTATAGGAGATTACTGGTAGCAATATCAACAATTGACACTGACACATCGGATTGGTGAAACTTTGGTTCTTCTAAATTGGCCTTCCACAGAGCAATAATTGTACGTGGATGTGCATCCTGTTCATTTAATCATATGCTTTAAAAAAGACATTTAGATATAGATTATGATTGTGCAAGAATATCCAGCAAAAGAAAAGAACCAACTCAAATTTTATGTCTTCATTTTAAGTGCAAATAGATACTAGTAATTTCAAGTATTTCAATATCCCTATTATAGTTTAATGTTTTGTCCGCATTCTAGTAAGTTAAAATGAGGTAGCAGTTCAAATAAAAATCACCCCAACTTGTGAGGGTAGGGCTGATGGAAATCCTTATACTCAGCCTTACCTTTACATTTTTTCAAAATGACCGTTTCCTGAATTTAAATCCGTGACCTTTCACTCACCAAGGAACAACTTTACCAATGCTCTAGGCTTGCCTGCTATTTCCTTTTAATGAAACACAAATTTACTATTTTCTTTGTGTGTGTGAATTCGTGGAAGAATAATTAATTGAATATGGAATACCTGCAAAGTAGAATATATGGCAAGCTCCAACTTGAAAGGTCTGGCATTGGAACCAACTGGTAAAACAACCGCCCAACTGCAAAGAAAATTAATCAATAATGAGCATAATCACAGATTTTATATTAAAAGTTTCTCCCAAAAAAAACACACTAATTTGCAAGTTGTGTGAGTGCAAGCCCAACCATGTAGCAATAAATCTAGAACAACTAGCCACAAAATAGAAAATTCAGAAGTGAACTGAGATGCTTCAACAATATGTCACATGATACTCACACTTTTCTTGATACCAACTGAGGAGCTACAACTTCTAGAAACCCAGGTCCATGAAACTCCCGCAGCCAACCAGAGAACAAGCATAGATGACTCTTCAAAACAACAATCATTATTTGAACATAGATGGTTCAGGTATCATGATAAAGAGAAGAAAGAGAAAACATTTCAGTTCATTCAACTTATATAGCAACACAAGGAAATTACATTACAAAAGTTTAAATGTACCTCAAGTGCACGAACAACATTGCTGTGCCCTTTGGCCCTGGCAACCTCAAGAGCAGTTTGACAATCATCATTCAAGATCAGAGGATTGGCTGAAGAGTTGAGCAGTAAATCCCATATAAATAACATTCATTGGAGTTTCTAAGATTCAAATGAATGGAAATAGTCACATTTTTGCTGTTATATAGACACTTGATCATACCTCCATGCAAAAGAAGTAACTTAACCATACTTTCAAGGCCCCTTTTAGCTGCATGATGTAATGGAGTCCCGGCATGACGACCTAAACAATAGTTGAAAGTTGAAACCAATAGATGAAGCAAATGGAAAAATAAATCAAGTTCATTTTTCAATATCCACTACAATTCATGTTCAGAAAAATTAAGGATATCAGCAGAGACAAGCAACCATCTCAACTAGGAATCTACAGGCTCAGTAAACGTCTAGAACTAGGCAACTCATGCTCCCAGATAGAATTATCTTACTTCATTATCAGATAATTTTGATTGCTACTTTTACTATTAAGTACTAATTTTTCCCAATGCCAATTACCCACAACATTCTTGTTTCTTAGAAATTATAATCATTCAATTCCAATCATAGCAATCAGCATCATTACCCAATACACAAATTAATCAAATCAGAAACCATAACAAACCAAAAGGAGACCAATACCAGGACGGTATGCATTGACATTGGCTCCAAGTTGTATCAAAGTTTTCGCAACATTATAAAGCTCAGGATTCATGCAAGCAACAATCAAGGCTGTCTTTCCTTCTTTGTCCATCCACTGCATCAAAGATCAACAAAATCATCACAATCAACAACAAAATCCAAAGGATCGAAACCCAGAATCGTCATCCCCTTAACCACTACCACAATAATAATTATAATAAGAAAAAAAATTCTCATTTTTTCTGGAAATTTTGCCACAGTTCATTTACCTCTAGGCCAGCACCCTCTCTGTGAAGGGCTTTGATTCCTTCGCAGTTCCCATAACTGACTTGCTGGTAGAGCAACTCGCCTTTCGATTGCCCTTGCCCCATCGGATATACACAAATTCAGAAGCAAAATTGGATTTTTATTTTATTTTTTATTTTTTTTGGAGGGGGTGATTTATTTATTATAGATTTTGCAGGAATTATGAAGTGGGTTTTCTGGTATTAGGGGAAGGAAAACTGGGTTTAGTTGAAAAAAAAAAAATCCAGGAAAATTACGAACTTTCCTGGAAAACGTATCTGTTAGTACGAGGCAAAGATAGGGAGAAAACATTATATTGGAAAGTGAAGAATAATAATTATAATTGGGAATGTGAGGGGCTAAAATTGTAAATATGCAAGAAGATGCGGCAAATGATAATGACATTTCTAATTCTAATTAAAACAATCCGCGTTATTTATAACGATATCTTAACAAAGAAGCAATAGAACCATTTCTGTGAAGTCGCAGCAGCTACAAAACACGGAAGGTTGAGTGTTTCTTGGAATATAATTATATATATATATATATATATATATATATGGGAAAGTACTTCTTATGTGACTGCAGAAGGGAAAACTCGCAGCAACACAGGATACGCGTCCGAATCCTGGTTTTTTTTGTTTTTTTTTTTGTTTTTGATAGAATCCGCACGTGTATCCTAGGATCCGCACGTGTATCCTAGTGTTAAAAATTTGCTACAACTTTTCTCATCAGCAGTGACATGAGAAGCGACGAACCCTATATATATATAAATATATGGGGAAAGTACTTCTTATGTGACTGCAGAAGGGAAAACTTGCAGCAACACAAGATACGAGTCCGAATCCTGGTTTTTGTTTTTTTTTTTGTTTTTGATAGAATCCGCACGTGTATCCTAATGTTAAAAATTTGCTGCAACTTTTCTCATCAGCAGTGACATGAGAAGCGACGGACCCATATATATATATATATATATATAGGGGAAAGTACTTCTTATGTGACTGCAGGAGGGACTTGCAGCAACACAGGATACGCGTCCGAATCCTGGATTTTTTTTGTTTTTTTTGTTTTGATAGAATCCGCACGTGTATCCTAGTGTTAAAAATTTGCTGCAACTTTTCTCATCAGCAGTCACATGAGAAGCGACGGACCCATATATATATATAGGGAAAAACTACTCTTATGCTATATATGATAACTTTATCTCTTACACATCCTTCGATAATTGTGCCATCTTTTTCTTTTCTTTTCTTTTTATTTCTCAGATAGTGGAGCCCACAAATTTATCTTTATGACATCCAAAACGATGTTGTTTTGTTTATTTATTTCCTTATATTAATAGATTCACCTATGAATGATTATGATTTCCTTTTTCTCTCTCTTCCTTTATCACCATTGATCCATCTTTGTACGGTTATGATTTATTAGCCGGAGATAAAATTATCTCCGGCTGCTTGAGAAATGATAAGCCATATATATATATATGAGTTTGTTTTTTCTAAAGTTACTTTAGATAACTTTATCTAATGTTCATCGAAATGACGTCGTTTTGGGACGGAAATCATGGTGTTTTTGTAATTTTAATTTATTTCAGGGTTATAATAGTCTTTATCGTTCTATTTTTTTAATTTTTCAACCCTAAAATGACGTCGTTTCGATGAACATTAGATAAAGTTATCTAAAGTAACATTAGATACTTTTTTGTTTAGGGGCAGGTTATATTTACAAACTTTTTTGTTTACATACTCTTACAAACTACACTATGTAGGATCGGTCCTACATTAATCACACAATGTACGACCGGTCCTACGTTAGTGTAATTGCAAAAAAAGTTTGTAAACAGATCCTGTCCCATATATATATATATATATATATATATATATATATATATATATGGGAAGGGTTCTTTTGACTCTAGAGTAAGACTTTTCCCATCTCAGTCATTGATGGACAGAAATAACGGTTGTCATTTATAGTATAATTAATAATTAATTAATTAATATAACTTCCTAAACTATAACCGTTGGATGGACGAAAATCAACGGCAAGGATGGAGAGTAAGACTTATAAGTCGTTTACATTTCTGCAGTTGCGTGCAACAATCAAATACTTGCCATATATATACTTGAATGCATTAAATGCGGGGAATCATAACCATACAAAGGATGAAAACATTAAATGTGGGGAATCATAACCATACACCTGTAGTTGTTGTACGTAAAGTGGCTGCAGAAATGATTTTACCATATATATATATGGGAAAAATATTTCTCGGGCAACTTGATATAAGTTTATCTCCTGCCATCCCAAAACTACGTCGTTTTGTTTATTTGTTTCCTTATATTAATTGATTCACCTTTGAATGGTTATGATTCCTTTTTTTTCTCTCTTCGTTTATCACCATTGATCCATATTTGTACGGTTATGATTTAGTAGCCAGAGATAAAATTATCTCAAGTAGCTTGAGAAACGATAAGCCCTATATATATATATGGGGTTTACATTTCTACAGCTGTTGTACATGCATCAATCAAATATTTGTCATATATATATTTGAAAGCATTAAATGCGGGGAATCATAACCATACAATGATGAAAGCATTAAAAGTGGGAATTCATGACCATACACGTGTCGTTGCTGTACGTAAAGTGACTGCAGAAATGATTTTACCTCTCTCTCTCTATATATATGGCAGGATATTCTTACACCGATATAAGAGTTAGAAGTCTTACACTCAATCTTGATATATATATATATATATATATATATATATATATATATATATATATATATATATATATGGTAGGATCATTTCATACCGGTGTCAAATTTAAAGTTTGACACCTCACCTGATAGCCGTTAAATCAAAAAAGATCAATGATGTCACATGTTTACAAATTAGAGTCGTTTATTTTTTTTTATCTAACGACTCTCAGATGAGTTGTCAAACTTTAAATTTGACACTAGTGTCAAAGGATCCTACCCCTATATATATATATATATATATATATATATATATATATATATAATATATAAAGAAGGTTATACTTACAACCTTTTTTATTTATACCCTCTTAAAATTATATCTTAATCATTGACTTTCGTCAATCAATGATTATCATTTATAACAAATTAATAATTAATTAATGAGTTTGATTTGCAAAAATAATAACGGTTGATTAACGAAAATCAAAGGTTAAGATATGTTGTAAGAGGTTGTAAATGAAAATCGGTTGTAAATATAACCTTCCTATATATAGATATGAGCTTATTATTTCTCAAATTACTTGAGATAACTTTATCTCCGACTACTAAAGGAAGAGAGAGAGAAAGCGAATCATAACCATTTAAAGGTGAATCAATTAATATAAGAAAATAAATAAACAAAACGACATAGTTGTGGAACCAATGCACTCTACGTAAAGAATATAAAGGTTCAACGATTTTGATGATAACAAACAAACATGAAAGGAAGGCCTCAAGCTGCAACAATCAAAAGAAACAAACATCCAACGATCATGAAGTTCTTCAAGATTCAAGCTTCAAGAGAAGAATCTAAGTCCAAGAATAATCAAGTAATATACTTTAGGACTTAGAATTAATTGTGAGGGTAACTGACTTCTTGCATGAATAAGCTCAAACATATTTTTGCTAAAATACATGCATTAAATTACCATTTGATTACACAGAGGATTTATAACATTACGCTTTCATATAAACATATTTGAAAAGGTCATAGAACATTTTTTAAACGTATTTCCAACCTTTTAGAAGGTTGGGAATCGATTCCTTCTGCACCAGAGGACGAAAATAACGGTCATAAACGACTAGTTTTGCGAAAATGAGTGTGCAAAGGGTCATGGGGGGCTCTATAAATAGTGACCATTGTTTCCCTTTATGGGACACACCTCTTGATCATAATCTTTGCTTTATTTTACATCATTTGCTTACTTTCTATCATCTTGATCATAAATCATTCTTGAGCTTTATTCTTGTGAGAGTGTCAACACCCATAGTTCTTCAACTTGTATTATTTGTACTTTGAGAGTACTTAACTATTGCTTAAACACCTCCATTTGATTTCTTGAATAGTTAGGGGAGTGAACCCTATACACTTGAAAGGTCACCAAATTCCTAAGAAAATTTGGAGTGAAAAAGTGTAAGGCATCAAGAGCCCGAAGTCTTGAAAAGTTGTAGTGGTCTGTCAAGCACCCTCAAGCTTGATAGCTAGTGAAAAGAATTGATCGAGCGACTTCAGTTTGGACGTAGGTCACGGTGGTGGTGACCGAACCAGGATACATCTAGTTTGCAATTTCTCTAACCTTAATCTCTTTATTTAAGTATTAAAATTGTATTTTAGATTGTCTTTATATCTTCGCTTTCGCTTGCTTACTTTGTTGATTACTACACTTGCTCTTACACTTAGATTTTTCTTATTAAATCACTTGTTCGAAGAAATAGTCTTTAAAATATAAAATGAGGTACTTTGTGAAAAGATTTTGTAAAACTCAATTCATCCTCCCTCTTGAGTATTGAAGCCACTTGTCCAACAATAGTTTTTGGGTGGACGGAGATAAATATATCTCAAGCTGCTTAACAAAATGAATCAATTATCCAATCATACTTTTATAAGTTCATAAAGCACAAATAAATAAAATATCTACTATGTCAATTTAAATTGTAACTCATAATCCCCATAAGTATACCTCTCCGAAGTGGATTATCTCATGTGAAAAAGTGGTCATGTGATCTTATTATTTGATCATAACCACTCATTGGATGAGATAAGAGAGAGAAAAGTGTATAATTTTTAAATAAGTGATTGTGATCAAATAACATAACCACTTTTTCACATGAGAGGATCCACTCCCATACCTCTCAATGACATTCAAATTGTCAGATGTTGTGAACTCATATTTTTCAAATTTATCTACATTGAAATGACATATGTTATATTCTCTTAATTTATTGTTCCGCAAATTATTTCAGTGTTGAAAGTTGAAATTTGAAGTCATTATAGAAGAATATACTACTAGCAATAAAATTACAAAATTTTTAAAATGAGTTCTACATTTTTTTCTGATAAGATGAAATAA